ATAATCTCTCTATATGTCCAGTGGATAGTGGATAGGTTGGGGGATACCTATGTATAATATTACAGGTATCCCCCACCCGCCTGTCACGTGTGACAGGTGGTGTGTTCTCATTGGTTGATGGAAAGTAAAGTTAAAGCAGTTGACTGCTTTTGACTTTTTGTTTTTGGATGTTGTGAATTATATTTCAATTATTGTGACGAAGGGACATAAAATAGAAATTAATAAATAAAACACACTTTAATGAAATAAAAAAACTTACAATACCATAAAACTGAAAAACCGTTTACATTATCTGAATTTTTGTCTTTTTCCGTACATATTATTATGTAATTAATAATGGAGGAAATAAAAAATGGGTTAATTAAATTTAATGCCTTTTGTGGAGTTAAGGGGTATTTAGGGTAAGTAAGGAATTAATGCTTACAACCTATCCTTAACTTGTTGTTGTTGGATTAGGAAGGCATTAGGAAATGTTAATGTAACTGAAAAGGCTTTGTGGGGAAAATATTGGTGGCAGGATAATCTCTCTATATGTCCAGTGGATAGTGGATAGGTTGGGGGATACCTATGTATAATATTACATGTATCCCCCACCCGCCTGTCACGTGTGACAGGTGGTGTGTTCTCATTGGTTGATGGAAAGTAAAGTTAAAGCAGTTGACTGCTTTTGACTTTTTGTTTTTGGATGTTGTGAATTATATTTCAATTATTGTGACGAAGGGACATAAAATAGAAATTAATAAATAAAACACACTTTAATGAAATAAAAAAACTTACAATACCATAAAACTGAAAAACCGTTTACATTATCTGAATTTTTGTCTTTTTCCGTACATATGATTATGTAATTAATAATGGAGGAAATAAAAAATTGGTTAATTAAATTTAATGCCTTTTGTGGAGTTAAGGGGTATTTAGGGTAAGTAAGGAATAAATCCTTACAACCTATCCTTAACAGGTATCCCCCACCCGCCTGTCACGTGTGACAGGTGGTGTGTTCTCATTGGTTGATGGAAAGTAAAGTTAAAGCAGTTGACTGCTTTTGACTTTTTGTTTTTGGATGTTGTGAATTATATTTCAATTATTGTGACGAAGGGACATAAAATAGAAATTAATAAATAAAACACACTTTAATGAAATAAAAAAACTTACAATACCATAAAACTGAAAAACCGTTTACATTATCTGAATTTTTGCCTTTTTCCGTACATATTATTATGTAATTAATAATGGAGGAAATAAAAAATGGGTTAATTAAATTTAATGCCTTTTGTGGAGTTAAGGGGTATTTAGGGTAAGTAAGGAATTAATGCTTACAACCTATCCTTAACTTGTTGTTGTTGGATTAGGAAGGCATTAGGAAATGTTAATGTAACTGAAAAGGCTTTGTGGGGAAAATATTGGTGGCAGGATAATCTCTCTATATGTCCAGTGGATAGTGGATAGGTTGGGGGATACCTATGTATAATATTACAGGTATCCCCCACCCACAGAGATTGGGGAAGATTCAGGCGCAATAGATATAGGGGTGTAAATTTGGCCCAGCCTCCGGCTCAGGCCGGTCCATGTCGAGCCTTGCAGGCTCCGATCAAAATTTGGGTCGGCCTGGCCTGACCCAACTCAGTCCACGGGCCAAAAAATTAAGCTCAGGCCCAGTAGTATTCAAGCCTTGACCAAGTCGATGGGCCTAGGCTCAGGCTTGGGTGGGCCTAAACAAAATATTTATTTATTTTTTTTATTTTTTCTACCAAAATTTTATTATTTTCTATTAAAAAAGATACTGGGCCTCACGCAGGGCGAAGCGGGCCTCAAGTTAGGCTTCAAAATGATGGCCCAGGGTCTTGGGCTAGGTTTGGGCCCGGACCAAGGCCCAAACCAGTCTAAACGAGCCGGGCCCACCCCGGGCAGCTGGCGAGCTTCAGGTCACCTACAGGCCACAGACTAGTTTTACACTCCTAAATAAAGCCGATTCACGGTGGTCGTAATCTTTCAATCACGAAAGAGAGAGAGATAGAGAGAGAGAGAGAGAGAGGAGTCCTTGCCGAAGGAGAAAGAAGACTTCTTACGGTTTGTTTTGATAGAGAGAGAGAGAGAGAGAGGAGTCCTTGCCGAAGGAGAAAGAAGACTTCTTACGGTTTGTTTTGATAATTTAAATAATTTATTTTGTCAAATCCATATATTTTATTTTTTTAAAAAAAAGTAAATCGATTCGATAATTGTAATTTCTTTAATTTTTTACAAAAAAATAAATAACAATTATGTTTTTAAAAATAAATTATATATTTTTTTAGTGACAAACACAATAAATTAAACAAGTTATAATTATTAAATCGATTTAATTTATTATCATATGACATAAAAAATATATTATTATTAAAATATAAAAGGTCAAAGTGACAAAAATAACAAAACTAAACGGAACAAAGTGTAATTTATGAAAAAAAAGATTATTAAAAACTTTACATCACTTTTACATAAATGTGAATATTGCTGATCTTAGGAGAGAAAAAATTTGACGGATTAAGGTCCCAGTTGAAGTAATTAGCAAAAATGTGATAGACTTTATTGCAACTTTGCCTAATAAATCAAAAGGAGGTAAAAGTGATTCATCTACAAAGTTCATCGATTGAACTGCATTACCCAAGAGCAACACAACTCGTGCATCAAAAAGCATTTGACCTATTGGTTCAGGCTCACCCGCATGGGGCCAACTATATAACCCAAGGGACATCGTATAAACCAACGATGTCAATGAAAAGCTTCAATTGTAGTAATATGTTGAACCATTGGTAATGCGTCAATGATGGAGGCTTGATGGAAAACCAAGTATTTTCCTTGAATCCCGATTTGGCGGTGGCTTAGTCAAAAAGTCAATATATTTAATTATACTATTCTTTTTATTTTTTATACGTTTTTTTATAAAAAATTAAAATAATTAATTAAAATAATTATTTTTCAAATGAGTTCTCAATTGAGTCGATGATTGAGGAGAGTCCATAACATAGGCTTGATCAGGTCTAGGGATGGCTATTTTAATACCAGGAATTCAAAGAGTGCCTTCCAATTCAAAATACAGGAATGATTTTTTTTTTGTTTTTTTGATCGGAAAAAAAGGGCTCTGTGTGTCATCACAGTCCCGTTGGGCCCTAGCCACGGGATAATCGGTTGCCAGGTAGGAATTAACCCCCACTAAGTGAGGGACCCACCACCAGGGTATCAATGAAGGGCAACCCCACGCCGCAGCAGAGGCCAGAGACCGAGGAGAGTAAAGGCATTGCTCACAGGGAGTGATCTCAAATGCCTCTCCCAGGAATCGACCCTGGTTCCTCGACTGGGGAATGAGCAGCTTCCTCCACCAGGCCACCAACCCTGGTGGTAAATACAGGAATGATTTAGGCTATTAATTTTGGTGCTTGGAGTACTAATGACATGATAATGAATAAAAAAAATAAAATAAAAAAAAATCAAGATCAAAATATCACATAATTATAAATAGAGTTCACTATCAACTCATTAAAGTTACCTTTAAAATTCAAAAATTAAGGCCAAGTTTGGGAAGACTAAATAAGTGCACTTTTTGACTTTTTATGAAATATGGGTTGGATTTGGGTTGGGTTTGAAGTGATGTGTTAGAGAGGTGATGTGACTTAAATAAGATGATGTGACTTAAATAGGATAGTGACTTTTTGACTTTTTGAATTTTTTGGAGGATGCCAAACTTGCATCTAAATTCTATTTGATATAATTAATAATATATATATATATAATATAATTACATATAAAAAAAGAATATTAAAAATCTATGATTTTATTTAAATATAAATAAATAATAATCTTAAAAGTTTCGTTGTTTATATATATGAAAATAAAGAAAATTATTTAGTATGTTAAGAATTTAAATGATTTTTAATCTTTTAGCTATTTAAAATGTGATCAGGTATCCGCAGGGACATGGATGGGATTGAAAAATTCCATCCGTAATGGAGAAGGGGGTGGAGGTGGAGTTTGTCCGCGGGGACAGGGGTGGGGAATGGCAAACCGGCCCCATCACCTTCTATCTGTTGTCAAAATTTTTAATGACTTTATTAATTAGATTAAATTAATAAAAAAATCCTAAAATTTAAGATCAAAATTGAATTAGTTAAAAGTATATAGATTAAAATAATACGAGAGATAAAATGTAGATATTATTTGTGTAATTTGCCCTTGTTAGTATATGTTACAATTTATTTGTTTATTGACAATCTCAACCTAAGTCAGTTTTGGGCAATGTTGCTTACTAGCATTATTATTATTATTTTTATGTTACAATTTATTTGTTTATTTACAATCTCAACCTAAGTCAGTTTTGGGCAATGTTGCTTACTAGCATTATTATTATTATTTTTTCGATAACTCAATATTAGGTCCCATGATTATATAATTTGGAGGATCAATCTCACTGTTCACGAGAAAGAGTCTAATTCAAGTCGGTCCAAAGCCTCATATGAAGTGACGCTAAGAAATTGATAAGATAGAGTTCGCACTCACTGGCACAAAAAAACACTACATATTTTGTTTCTATTATAAACTTTTGGGTAATGTTATGATACACACTCTTATCATATGCAAGTTATGACATTTATGATATTATTTATTAAAAATGTCATAATTAGATCATGTTCAGGCATAACTAAAAAAAAAAAAATTGAATCATAACTAAATACCATATAAAGTATAAGTAAAAACTTTTTGAATCAAAATCAAAATAATACCATAACTAACATTATAATGAATCGCCACTAACATTTATATAATGAAATCATAAATAACGTCATAACATGTTATAATAAAAAACTATAAAAGTTGTGACTAGAGCATATAATACACAACTCAAAAAGCTGGTCCAAGCCTCTTCCTCCGGAAGAGGGTGGAGATGGTAAACATAAATGTGAATATTGCCGATCTTAGGAGAGAAAAAATTAGACGAATTAAGGTCTGACGACAGACAATTGAAGTAATTGGCAAAAATGTGATAGACTTTATTGCAACTGTTCCTGATAAATCAAAAGAAGGTAAAAGCAATTCATTTACAAAGTTCATCGATTGAACTGCATTACCCAAGAGCAACACAACTCGTGCATCAAAAAGCATTTGACCTATTGGTTCAGGCTCACCCGCATGGGGGCAACTATATAACCCAAGGGACATGGTATAAACCAACGATGTCAATGAAAAGCTTCAATTGTTGTAATATGTTGAACCTTCCAAAAATCTTCACCATGTGGTCGCTCTATTTTTTGACAGAATCCACGAGGCATGAGCCATACTAATAGATGTTGTAGATTTTTTAGGTGCTCAACGCCTAATGGCACCATTTCTAGTTTCTTACATGAGGCGATATGTAGTGCCCTTAGCCCAGGCATTGCTCCTTGCTCCACTCTTATGCTCTTTAATTGCCTTAGTTGTTTAAGGCCAAGTTTTTTAAGCCTTGGGTACCCTCCAACATTGCAACACAGTTCCTCCCCTGCATAAGCTTCTCGGAGTTCAAGCACTACCAAATTGGGCAATCCTTGGAGTGATTTTAGTGGGTCATCATCCAGATTAGAGTACTGAAGGACTAACTTTGCAAGGTATTTGAGGGAAATGATCCACTTAGGCAAAGTTAATAAACTGGATTTGAGATATAGACATTGTAAGAACTGTGGACAGGAGGACAAAGAATCAAGATGAAGAGGTTCAATGGTGCTTATGGAAACCAAGTATAATGAAGTAAGGTGCTTCAACTTTTCTAGAGAAGAACATAGATTCACTCCGTCTTCTTGTGTTAGTTTTAAGATACCCAGCCTCCTTAGTTGGGTTAGCTTTCCAAACTCTCTCACCATATCACCATTACCATTTACTTCAACGCTTCCCAATTTCTGTAGATTTGTTAACCCTCCTATCTTTGTTGGAACGCTCATCCCATATGTGCTGGCAAACATCGTTGATGATTCCGAACGGTAGCCATAACCACGCAACTGGCAAAGATGTTCTAACTTTAAAATCCCATTAGGCAAGGATGATATAGGACAATGTTTGAGATCTAGTATTTCTAATTTCTTGAGTTTTCCTATAGACTCTGGAAGTTCCCTTATCATTGTCATCCTTAGACTCAAGTATCTCAAGTGAATTGTCTTAGTCAGCTCTGAAGGGAATTCGTAAAGGGGTGCACGTTCAAGCTCCAACACTCCCAACAATTTGAAATCCTTGAAGAATGTCTTTCCAAAAGATATTGAAGATCCCTTTGACACAAACACCCAAAGAGATCTAAGGCTAGTCAATCTGATGGTTGATGGGAGCTCCTCTTCACAACTGGCATGGATTGACATTCGACGAATCTTCTCATCCTGTGACATTCTTCTATCATTCAATAGTATCATAACAAATGATTCATCCCTGGATTTCAACTGGATAATTTCTCTCATAACATCATGTAGACGACAAGTCCTAACCCTATTGAAGTAATCCTTTTGCACTACTTGAATCATACTCCTACTAACAAGCTCATTAAGGTAGTCCTCTGCAACCTCTTCCGCAGTGAGACCTGGTTTTTCTTCTACAAATCTTTCAACCACCCATAGCCGAATTAGTTTCATTCTTTTGATCAAATAATCCTCCGGAAAAACACTCAAATACAAGAAACAACATTTGAGATGGTATGGTAAGTCGATGTAGCTAAGCATTAGTATTCTTTTAAGATTTTCAAGGCTGGAATTACTCTTCACCTCTGCAGAGAGGCTGTCATGGACTTTCTTCCATTCCAACAAATGTTTATGCTTCTTAGACAAAAGGGAACCTATTGCTACAATTGCTAGAGGTAGTCCCCCACACTTCTTCAAGATACTATAAGACATCTCCTCCAATTCTTTCGGGCAAACACCTCTGTTTTCCCCTCGGAAAGTTTTGTTACAAAAGAGCGTCCAAGCCTCTTCCTCCGGAAGAGGGTGGAGATGGTAAACATGACCAGCTGTTTCTATAGCTGCAGCTACATCACCAATTCGTGTTGTGAAAATGATCCTGCTTCCACAACAATAATCAGGTAGTGCAAATTTAACCGATTCCCAAGCATTTATGCTCCATACATCATCAAACACAACAACATACCTCTTTTGTTGTAGATAGTCCCTAAGCTTGTTGATCAATTGTATTTCGCCCATCGTATCAAGTCCTTCAGGAATTGGCTCTTGTGTCTCCTCCAAGAAGTCTTTCAGTGCAGCCCGCAGAAGCTCCGCCGTCGTGAATGACTGCGACACAGTTATCCAAGCATGGCAGTTGAAGTACTTCTTAACAACTTGACTATCATACACTTTCTTCACCAAGGTTGTCTTGCCTACACCACCCATCCCCACAACAGAGACGGCTGTCAGATTCTGCTTTCCGCTTACCAGCCAAGAAATTAACACACTCTTGGGATTCTCAATTCCCACAACATCAGCTTCGTCTAGAAAAAGAGAAGCCAATCGAGGATCATTCCTTGGCTGCAACTGCAAAGTAGTTGTTGAAGTTGTTGCTTCCTCTTCTCTTTTGAATGAAAATGTATTTCGTCTTTCTGAAACGGCCTTCACCTTCATCTTCAGATCCTCTACCTGAACCACTAAGCGGTGTCGTGCTCTCAATTGTTGCAGGTGGTGGTAGACTTTGCGGAGGGAGTGAAAGAAGCCACTGCCCTGTGGCGGAGACAAGCGGAGGAGGAACTCTTCAAGAATATCCTCGGTGTCATAGGACACGTCTCTGACTTGCTTCACCCAAGTTTGGACTCCTTTATCGGATTCACTTCTTGCTTCGGCGTCCTGTAGGAAAGATCTCATGCTCTCCAGATCATCACGTAATTCAGCGACTCCATTGCCAACTCCACCAAGGAATTGAGCTTCTTCTGCTAGAAGGGAACCCAATTTCTCAAGAACAACCTTCACTGCGATCATGGCCATGTTTGCTTTTGCAAATTTTTTAATGGCTGTTTGGGGGTCAATGAGAAGCACTCGATTGATGATGATGATGATGATGACGGACAACTCATTGAAGTCAGAAAGTCTCCCAAGTTCGGTGCATGTGCGACTTCCAAATTTAAATAAGAATATAAAATAATAAAAAAAAAGAAAAGAAAATGCAAGTTGTGTAGAGCAATAGTGACCTTCTTGTTTCCACTTTTCAAAAATATTTTTAAAAAAATTAATTTTCTTATTTTTCGTTTTTTTATTTTTATTGAATTTTTTTAATATTTTAGACAATTTTTTTTTATTTTTTAGACACACCTAATATAAATACATCTAAAAAGTAAAAAAATTATAAAAAAAATCTTTTAAAAATTCACTAAATATCAAAAATATAAAAAAATACAAGAATTCAGTATATTTTTTGTATTTTTATGTATTTATTAATTTTTTAAAATATTTTTTCACAAATTTTTTACTTTTTAGATACATCTAAGTAAGATGCATCTAAAAAAGTAAAAAAATATTTAAAATTAAAAAAATATTCACTAAAAACAAAAAATACGAAAATCAAAAAAATCAATTTTTAAAAAACTTGATTCAGAAAACTCAAACCAAACACACTGAGTAATTCTCATTAATGTTATATAAATAAAAAAAAATTATAATTTATTGCGAAACTTTTATTTTAAAATAAAATATTATTAAAAATTAATTTATTTACAATCATGACATTGTCATTATTCTTATCAAATTTTTTATGTGGATTTACAATTTTTCATACTCATCTATATATCACGTTCCTAAAGAAAACACCTCACCTATTTGGTAAATCGATTAATCTTCTACCACAAGCTATATTATGTGGGCTCTACAAAATAAATCACATACTTGTGTTGTGTTTGATACCCGACACTTATGCTGTGTTTGGTTAAGGGATTTGATGAGGGATTTGGAAAGGGAAATGGAAAAGGTAGGTGAAATGTGAAAAAAATATACTTACATTTCACATAGTTTCACACACCTTTTCTCTTCATCCATTTTTTTCATTTCCTTTTCCAAATCCCTCATCAAATCCCCTAACCAAACACAACATTAGGGATTGTTTGATAAATGAGTTGAGCTAAATAATAAATAAAGAAAAAAAAAAAGGTCAAAAAATTACAAAAGGACAAAAATCACAAAAAGACAAAAAAAAATCTACCATTCTAAAGCTAAAAAATCAAAAAAATCAATCAAGAATACCAAACAAACAAAAAAATCTAAAAAAGTCAAAAAAATCAAAAAGCCAACTAAAAAAATTATTGCCAAATGAAGGCTTATTCAAGAGTATAAGATATGTAGACACTTAAGCCCCGTTTGGAAATAAACTATTTTAATTAGTTATTTGATTTTTTATATAAAAAAAAAGTGAAAAAAATAGAGAGAATGATGTGATGAGTTGTTTTATTTTATTACCTATTTTAGCTTGGGATGGACTAAATAGCCTATCCCAAACACCAATTTATTGTATTTAATACTATTATTATACATATAGGAAGTAATTGAGACCCCCTTCAATCACCACCCTACTACCCCACACACACGTGGCGGGTGATGATTAGAGGAGAAGGAAAAAAAAAAAAAAAAAAAAAAAAGACCCAATAGAATTTAGCAATTCACCAGAGGGGCGAAGAAACCGGGTGAGTTGAGTCACAAATTTGACAACCACCAAAATTATATTGTTTCCAAGTTCTAATATATCATGAAACAACCCAAATCAGGCAATGAAGCTTTCCATGGCTCTGTGTTGTGTTTTCTGCGCCGATCTCTCTTTGAAAACTCTAGATCTAGGGTATGTGCGTTCCTCCTCTCTCGCCTTGCCTCATCGCCGCCGTTTTGTCTTGCGTCACCGCCGACTAAAAAAATATTATCATTTTTTACCAAGTTCACATCCTCTTAAATTTGAGATTTGATGAGTCTGACCTCTACACACATTCACATCCAACACCCGTAACTGAATCCATTTAAAATATGACACAAGTTAATTTACCACCATATATTTGTATTGAGTTTTGTGTGAGAATTTCACAAATAAATTGTGTTAGATCCATTTAATTGTGAAAAAATATTTTATACTTTATTAGTAAATAAAGACTTTTTTAAACCCTTACCCAGCAGCCCCAAACCAGCTGTCCCTCACCTTTTATGCCAGTTTAGGTGCCACTCTCATAGGCGTCAGTCAATGCATTAAGAGAGTTGACTAACAAATTTATATTAAAGAAAAAAAAAATTATGAATCAATCATGTGTTATCGATGTGATTAATTTAAATTTTTATATAAATAATATGTTAAGCATGTTTTATAAAAAGAAGTGTTCAAATTATCTTAGTGGATTCAAAATATATAAAATTATTCTTTTGTATGAATAATTTCCTTTATTATAAACAATTCAAATAATTAAAATAAATTAAAATTAATCTGATAATAAATCAGTTTTACTATAAAATTAGAATCATCAACTTTAACAAATTCAGACTCATTTATTAGTAGGTGTGACCAACTGGCCAAACTTTGACTTTTTAACTATTAATCCATCATCATCATCATCATCATCATCATCAATCGAATGGCTGGTAAGAAAATTTTAAAGATCCCCAATAACCAGAAAGAATATCAAACTGTGGGAATAGTACAATACTAGCGGTGACCAATTAGCAAAAGCAAACAAACATGGCCATGATGGCAGTGAAGGTGGTTCTTGAGAAATTGGGTTCCCTCATAACAGAAGAAGCTCAATTCCTTGGTGGAGTTGGCAATGGAGTCGCTGAATTACGTGATGATCTGGAGAGCATGAGATATTTCCTACAGGATACCGAAGCAAGAAGTGAATCCGATAAAGGAGTTCAAACTTGGGTGAAGCAAGTCAGAGATGTGGCCTACAACACCGAGGATATTCTTGAAGAGTTTCTCCTCCGCTTGTCGCCATCTCAAGGCGATGGTTTCTTTCACTTCCTCCGCAAAGGCTACCACCACCTGCGCTAATTGAGAGCACGACACGGCTTGGCGATTCAGGTAGAGGCTGTCAAGAGGAAGGTTAAGGACATTTCAGAAAGACGAAATGCATTTTCATTCAAAAGGATAGAGGAAGCAACAAGTTCAGTGTCACGACCCAAATCTGCCCCTATAGGTTTAGCGTCGTAATCGGCCAGTAATCCTTGGATTACCAAAGGCCTCTTAGCAGATTAGCAAGTAATAAGGGGCTGCGGAAGCAACTAGACAAAATAAACAAAATCTAATGAGCTGTGATGACGTACATGGGACAAAGTAAGTCAAATATATTTATATTCATAAGCATGCTAGTCAAGGGACACCAATATTCACAAATATTTACAGACTGTAGCCTCCAGATCCTGACTTTACAAACAGACAGAGACTAGCATAACTACAAAAACAGCCATGGCAATTGACTTCAACTGGAACCTCCTCAGGAGGCGCAATGGTTGGCTGACAAAACTGGGGTGTAGGCCATCAACCCCGGGCCTGGTCTCGTACTTGCTCACCTACATACATAATATAAGAAGTGAGCTAAAGCCCAGTGAATAATAACAGAGTAAAGGGGTTTAATGAATGATGACCATATTGAATACAGAAATCAGAAATCAGTCCCTTATCAGATCGGAAACATAATCATATTCGTATTAGAAAAGAATCACAATCATATCCATATTCAAATCATGTGTGGTACATTCCCCTTAGCACAACATATCATGTTAGTCAAGCATAGCAAGTCCCATAATGGAACCTCCGGTACCGGGTAACATATTCGTGCCACGGTATTGTTTTTCCCCGGCGACGGCCTGTGCCACGGTATTAACCCCCGGGCTAGGGCCTCATGACCATGTGCCTCAGTATTGTGTCCCCTGGGCGAGGGCCTCGACTAAGGATACCACGTTTACATTTCAAGGAAGATTGGACAATCATTCACTCATTCAAAACATAGCATTTCAGAACTTATCATCTCATGTCATTGGAAAATAATTAAAGTTAAACATAACTTTACAGAGTTATTACTCACAAACAATTGGTCGGCCCAACTAGATGGTAAAAGGGCTCTTCACTTGTCTTGAGGTGCGTGACCTACACGAATACTCATACAATTATCCGCTTGAAACACACGCTCGAGTTAGACGTAACTTACTTTGTTATTCTTAGTGTGTGCTTAACCATTAGTCTCATTATGGAGTCTTAAACATGGCTTAGAAATGCCTAGGATGGGATGGGGATGCAAAGATGCACTTTAAAACACTTTTCAAAACTTTGCTGAAACAGGGGTCCCGCTCGAGCGTGTACTTATATGCTCGAGCGGACATGTAGACAAAAGGAATACGCTCGAGCGTGTATTACTCCGCTCGAGCGGACTTCAGGCTACAGTAAAAGTGCTAGATGCATGAAATTCACGCTCGATGGGCGCTCGATACCCGCTCGAGCGTGAATTACCTCGCTTGAGCGGATTGAAAACACAGGCAAAGTACTGGATACACGAAATTACCGCTTGAGCGTCGCTTTACCCGCTCGAGCGTATTGCATGAACCCAGTATGTACGCTCGAGCGTGGAGTTTCTCACTCGAGCGTGAGTCCAAAATCTGGAATTTCCAAATTCGAACCTCAAGTTCAAAACTCAACTACAATGCATCAAATTTGACCATTTTGGGCTAATTTTCTGGAAAACACTTGTAAACTCATAGTATAAGATGTTTCAAAGCTCAATTTGTAAAATCAAAGCCCAAGGGTGAGTCAATTGAACACAATTCCAAGTAAAACTTCAAGAATTAATAAAGAACAAAACATGCAAGTGTTCAATTGAATCTAATGCTCCAAGAATGCAGCCAAATGCAAGATTAAACTCAAAATCATGATGAACTCATGGACTATAACTAGAACATAGCCTTGCATGCAAGAAATTCCATGAAAACACTTCAAATTGTTATGATATGAACATGCATGCATGAATTAAGCTTAAATTCAACATGTTTGAGCTAATCCTAGACTTAGGTAAGTAATTTCATATGACCCATGCAAGAACTAACTCAATTCACAATTAAGAAGGTAATTCTCCTACCTTAAG